ATAATAAATGTTATTGGTTCTAGTAATGGAAGCAGATTGATTTTCATTGTGTGCTTGTTGTGATTCCAGCCCCTGGGGTTGATACATATTGGTTTCAATTCACATCATTTTTAATTTTGGTAAACCTCAAAATGCTTACAAGAAAGCTAACATCTCTGAAAATGTCCGATACAATGTTCTTGGGCCCCCGGCTGTGCTGCTGTTAATGCAAACCAATGAAAATGGTTTAGAAGAAGACTGGAGAGGCAACAGGGTGGATTTACTAATGGAAAATACTGTTACTTTGTAAATGTGGTGAAGCTTCACTTTATATATATTACCCAATCAGGTACAGAGAAAATTAAAAAAAATATATATTTTTTTTTTGCTTGCACATGATTGGATAATATAAATCCACAGAACTTTACCACATTTACAAAATTCTGGGGAAAATTAGTACAACTACACTTGAGTGCCGAGTCTATTTTCCTTTTAGTAAATCCACCCCAACATGCTATATGAAATTTCTGGAGATCACCTCCATTAGAGCCCCTTTATAAATCAATGCTTCCACATTTGTGCTCCCTACAGTCATTTGAAAAAAAAAAAAAATCTTGTGCAAGCTCTGTATTAATCTCAGTATAATAAAATATAATCTAATGCAGAGGTAGGAGATCTACCTGAACAAAACATGAAAGATCAAAGGTAACCGGGGTTCAGTGCCTTTTTTTTTTTTTTTTTTTTTAAAGAAATTAACTAGCAATGCCTAATTAAATAGGAAACTAGATAAATATAACAAAACAAATGTCACTGTAAAAACGCAAACTTAGCCTACCTTAAAAGTGCCCGGTGTCAGTTGTTTTTTTACTTTTTACAAATTTGTTTAGGAGAACTGTTGAAAGGGGTGCACACAGGGGGCTGGACAAAAAAAAGAACAGGAGGGATCAATAAAAAAACAATAGTTATAAAAAAAAAAAAAACAAAAAACAGGAGGGTCAGCGGGCGGCATGTACTATAACAGACCCCCCTAGATCTTCCTCCTGCAGCAGCTGTACGTTGGTGTCAGGGAGGAGGCGATGCTGGCTTTTAGCTGATGCAGAAATAAAATAAAATGGGATCGTTGGAAGACAGGTATTTTAATGATTCTATCATTTATAAAACATCAGAGAGCAGGATGGTCATTTATACATATTGTAAATGATCTGAGACAAGATGGCGTAAGAATTGTTTCTATGCACTGTTACCTGGAATCAGATGTTTGTGGAGTAAAAAGAAGCCCATTTTGTTGCCAGGTCCCATCGCACACACATTGTACAACTTGCACGTACAAACAGCAGAATGGAAAACCTGTACTGAGTAAACCTTTAGTCTGCCTTTACTAACCCCTCTTTATGAAAATACTAGTTCCCTGCTGGTCAGGTTGATCCAGCTTTTCAGTATTTTCAGTATGGGCTTGTACCCTTAAATGCATGAGCTTTCCAAACGTTCAGCATACAATGAGATGACATCACCTACGGCTGGGGTCTATGTTGTTTGATGTGCCTGCTAATTTCTAGGTTTGTGAGTATATAATTGTTTTTAGAATAGAATAAAAGTCTGGTGGTAAAGCACTAGGAATTTGTTTCCTCCTTTTGTGTGTTTTTCTTTCTAGTATACAAAAACATATTGAGCCATATGGCTAAGAACTGTACATGCAACCAGAGCTGGATTGCATTGTGTGCAGTCCCTCATCAGTTCCATAGCTTCCCCAGCTGGGCTTCATTTCCTTGGAGAGGCTGAATGGTAATCCACCAGTGTGAGAAAAAGTCGCTCTGCTTTGTATATAGGTACAGTGAGATGAAGGCATTGTACAAATAAGAATCCCTACGGTGACTGTGCATCTGTACACCTGCAATGCTTCATATTCCAATGAGTCCTTTCCTATTTTTTAATGTTTTCCCTGCTAGTTTATTGTATCTTAAAAATATTACCAAATAAATTGAGTTTGAGAGTTGAGCTTCAATGGTAAATTATTTTTGAGAATAAGGTGCATTGGAAATTTTAGAAAAAATACCTATGCAGTGTTGTGAAAATTACTCTTTATTGTATATATTTGGTCTGACCAGTTTGATAAATTAACCTTGCTGCACTAATTTAAAAAAAAAAACACAAAATCATACATTAACCATTTCAATACCGGCAATTTTACACCTTCCTGCCCAGGCCATTTTTCACGTTTCAGCGCTCTCACACTTTGAATGACAATTGCGCGGTCATACAACATTGTACCCAAACTAAAATTTTAGCATTTTCTTCACACAACTAGAGCTTTCTTTTGGTGGTATTTAATCACCGCTGGGGTTTTTATTTTTTGCTAAATTAACAAAAAAAGACCAAAAATTTTGAAAAAAAAACAAGTTTTTCTTTGTTTCTGTTATAAAAGTTTGCAAATAAATAATTGTTCTTCATAAATTTAGGCCAAGATGTATTCTGCTACATGTCTTTGGTGAAAATAACCCAAATTAGGATGTATTATTTAGTTTGTAGGAAAGTTATAGAGTTCACAAACTATGGTATAGATCTGAATATTGATCATTCCTGAAGTACTGACAGCCAATCTAATTTCATGAGGTCCAAGAATGTCAGAATAGTACAGATATCCCCCAAATGACCCCTTTTTGCAAAGTAGACAGTCCGACGTACTTCATAAGAGGCATGGCGAGTTTTTTGAAGTTGTATTTTTTTTTGGTCATAATTTTTCGGAAAATGAAAAAATTAAAAAAAATTTTCACTATTTTTTTTTTTTACATACTGTCACCAGTGCAGTACAGCGTCATCCTATAACTGGCATGGCGGTGAACAGGGACACTGACTGGTGACAGTATGAAAAAATATATATATATATATTTTTTTAAAATTTTTTTTATTTTTAATTTTTTATTACATTTTTTTTTTTTTTTTTTTTAGATTTTTTTTTTCATATTTTACTATGACCAAAGTAGTACAATGTTACCATAGTAACATTGTACTACTTTGGGGAAGTGATCAGTATTTTTTTTTTTTTTTTTTTACACAATTTGCTTATAGCAAAGAATTACTTTGCTATAAGCAAGCATTTACCTGAATGAAATCGATTCATTCAGCTTTTTTTTTTTTTGTGCTTAGCTGTGATTTGGTCACAGCTAATCACATGACGTGCATGTGATTAGCTGTGACCATTCACAGCTAGGCACTAGTATACAATGGATGGCATGAATGAAGCCATCCATTGTATACAACTGTCATGTGACCTGCTGTGATTGGTCACAGCAGGTCACATGGCACCAGCAACGGGGCCGGTACTCAGATCTGTCATCGGCCGTGTCCGAGGTACGGAGTGCAGCATTACTTTTGAAGCCGCCAAACGGCCATTGGCCGGGCGGCTAATGGTTAAACTCCAGATGGGGTACCAAAAAAATTAAAATTTTTAGTTGACTGTATTTTAAGCTGGAAACAAAGAATACAGCTAGTTATACAAATTTTTATGGAGGAGAGAGAACCACGCTAGTGTAAAAAGAAAAAAATAATATTAGTGAGAAAATCTGCAAACGCACTAGGAGATATTTTCCATAGTACGAAATTTGCTAAATAAACTATGTTCAGATTAAAAAAAACACAAAATTTATACATCAAACTCCAAAATAAATCAATGAAAAAAGTCCCAAAATAATAATGTAGAGGTTCACAAGGTTTAAACACAACTATTTAATCCCCCAAAAGTTCTTGGGAAAAGTGCCAGGGATATAATTTTTTAATTGATTTATATGGTTTTGTTTACATCTATCCTTGCACATTTCCCAAGAACATTTGGTGAATTAAATGGTTGTGTTTACACCTTGTGATCTTTCACATTATTAATTTTGGGACTTTTTTAATTTATTTATTTAAGAGTTTGATGTGTGAGTTTTTTAAATTAGCGAAACAAGGTTTATTTGTCAAGCTGGTCAGACCAAATGTATACAATAAAGTGTATTTTTCACAATATATAAAGAAAGTAATATTCTTCGCACTCCATAGGTTTTATTTCAAGCATTTCTGATGGCCCTTATTCTTTGTGAATGTTCACATTATTCATTTTGGGACTTTTTCAATGTTTTTATTTTGGAATTTAATGCATGAGTTTTTAAAATTAACATTACAAGGTTTATAAGTGTCAAGCTGGTCAGACCAAATGTAAACAATAAAGTGTATTTTTTACAATGTATAAAGAAAGTATAATGCTGGTCAGACTTTGTGGAATTTCACATTATTATTTTGGGACCTGTTTATTTATTTTGGAGTCTCATGTATGAATTTGAGGTTTTTTTTAATTAGCTCAACATGGTTTATTTATTAGTTTTTTACTATGGAAAATATCTCCATTTGCAGCATTTCTCACTGATATTTTTTTTTGTACACTAGTGCAGTTTTCTCTCCATAAAAAATTGTCTAACCAGTTCCATGCTTTGTGTCCAGCTTAAAAAGCGGCCAAATAAAAATTTTAATTTTTTGGGGTATCCCATGATGAACAGCTTTCTGTATATGTTTATTTTTACAGAAATACGTTATGGATTAAAATGTTAATTACAAGATCAAATGTTTAATATTTATCACAACAGAAGATATGTTTCACACTTTTGCTACTTATTCTTTTTATTATTTAATTTCAAAATTGAATTTAGAAATATATCTTAAAAAAAAAAAGAAATATGTCTTCATTTTCCAAATTAAACTCAGAGCTTTGCTTCCACCTTCTGGTAAGTACTGAGCACTGAGATACCACCTAGGTTTCCCCTAGGCGTCTCTGACCTTGCGTGCCAGGATAAAGATGCCGGAGGTATGATTGCAGATATCGAACATGGGTTTGTCAAACTCTCTGTGCAGAACTTCTAAGTCTTCAATGACGAAGCCTGTATCAGTTATGACTTTCTTAAGGAAAGCCTCAGTGAGATTTATGAGAGAGAACTGCTTGTTTCCACATCTGAATATGGTGCTCCCTAATATACTACCAATGATTAGGTGGCCTCCCACTTTTATCATGGAGGAGAGGTTTTTGATAACATTTCCATAAGCCTCCTCATCTTTACAGGCACATTCCAGGCAGCCAACGGTCAGGACACAGTCCACTTTTGGTAGAACGAGTGGATGGAGAGGATTACTTTTGGTGACATCACAAGGTACCACTTTTTTCAGTGTCTTCCGAAGCTTTTCCTCTTTCTCAGCCAGCTTTCCACTACAAAAATAAAAAGTTAGTTTAATGTGTAAGTCTGCGGTCTTGTGCCAACCAAGTTTACTGCTGTGAATTTTGCCTGTACAAAGACTTAAAGGGGTTTATTTACTAAAGCTGGAGAGTCCAAAATCAGACTCCCTTCTGCATAGAAACCAATCAGCTTCTAACCTCAGCTTGTTCAATGAAGCTTTGGCAATGAAACCTGGAAGCTGATTGGTTTCTATGCAGACATGAGTCTGATTTTGGACTCTCCAGCTTTAGTAAATAAACCCCAAAGTGTTACTAAACCCACAACAGTACAATCAGTCTGTATATGCAGTAGAGCTTGCTTGTTATACTCACTGTGGAACCTAAGGGGTTAATCCTCTGCATTGTGTAAAAAACGCTGTTTGATCCTGACTTCTTTGATCCACTCCTTTCTTCAGTGTCCCCCTCTTATCTCCTGATAAGACATATCATGTGGAGTCACTCTGCACACGCTCAGTTTAGTGTGTATTGCTAGAGGTATTTTTTTTTCCTTGGGAGAGAGTGCATGTGATCAGCACAGGGCTAGACAGATCTCAGAGGTTCTGCATCCTCCTAGAGCATAATGAAAACTCCTCCTACAAGCTTTAACCAATGCTTTGCTGAACACTGATATAAGTCACAAGACTGCTATATACTGCTGATAAAAAAAAGGTATTTAGCAGTTTATATTTACTAAAATAATTGCATTTCCATGTTGTTTGTACTGTGGGAGACCAGATGTAGTGAATGCAGGGTCCGGGGAGACCAGATATAGTGAATGCAGGGTCCGGGGAGACCAGATATAGTGAATGCAGGGTCCGGGGAGACCAGATATAGCGAATGCAGGGTCCGAAGAGACCAGATATAGTGAATGCAGTGTCTGGGGAGACCAGATATAATGAATGCAGGGTCCGGGGAGACCAGATATAGTGAATGCAGTGTCCGGGGAGACCAGATATAGTGAATGTGGGGTCCGGGGAGACCAGATATAGTGAATGCGGGGTCCGGGGAGACCAGATATAGTGAATGCAGGGTCCAGGGTTTAGTAACATTTTAATACATTCTCTGAATTAAAGTGTTACTAAACTCATCCTCAGCTCTACCTCTGAAGAAGTGCGTGCGCAGGAAACGTGTCAGGTGGAGCCCAGGACGCCATTGACACTACGCCGCCGGTGCCACGTGGAGACCCGGAGGCCATCTTTAATCTTAAAAGGTCAGTCATTTGATTAAGCCTGGCACCATTGTGAGTTTTTTCTGAACACTCCTGTTTTTCTTGAATAAAATCATTTTCATCAACCTACTACACTATGGGTTCTTTCCTGTGTCTTCTGCGATGAGCCTTTTCAGCTTCTGCAGACCCAGATTGATCCCTGCACCAGCCTTTGAGAGGAGGAATTTTCCACTTCACACACTTCTGTAAGGATTTCTGTGACCTGCTGGACCTCCATTTCGCCACACGAGGGCGCTTCATCTCTACTATCTCCAGCTCCTGCCCATTACCAGACCAGAAAAGAGAGGGGACTCCATGATACCATATACACATGCGTATTATTAATACGTTTCTGGTTAGTGCGCATTTCTAACTTTTGCACTGGGAATCAGCGAGCACCATTACTGGACTGTGATTTATTTATTGATTTTTTTTTATTCATTTATTAATTTGCTTTGGTTTCATTTATTATTTATATCTGCCCGCAATATAGTAACATCACACAGCGCTGCATTTTCTCTTTATATACACATTAGTAAAATCAGTCTGTATATGCAGTAAGGCATGCTTGTTATACTCACTGTGAAACCTAAGGGGTTAATCCTTACTGTGAACAAAGGCTGCATGATCCTATCTTCTCTGATCCTCCCCTTCTACTGTTCCCAATCAATCTGCTGATAGTACAGAGCTCTAGGAGACATGCTCCGTGTGTATTGCTAGAAATTTTTTTTTACCTTGGGGGAGTGCACGTGATCAGCACAGAGCCAATCAGCACTGACCAGACAGAGGGTCAGGGATTATGCAGCCTCACAGGACAGTCAGAGCAGGATGAAAACTCCTCCTACAAGCTTTAACCAGTGCTCAGCTGAACACTGATAGGAGACTGCTATATAAAGCCGATGAGAAAAGGTATTTAGCTGTTTATATTTACTAAAATAATTGCATTTCCATGTAGTGTATAGTGTGGGAGACCAGCTATAGGGAATGCAGGGTTCGGGGAGACCAGATATAGTGAATGCAGGGTCCAGGGAGACCAGATATAGTGAATGCAGGGTCCGGGGAGACCAGATATAGTGAATGCAGGGTCCAGGGAGACCAGATATAGTGAATGCAGGGTCCGGGGAGACCAGATATAGTGAATGCAGGGTCCAGGGAGACCAGATATAGTGAATGCAGGGTCCTGGGAGACCAGATATAGTGAATGCAGGGTCCGGGGACACAGATATAGTGAATGCAGGGTCTGGGGAGAACGGATATAGTGAATGCAGGGTCCGGGGAGACCAGATATAGTGAATGCAGGGTCCGGGGAGACCGATATAGTGGATGCTGGGTCCAGGGAGAGCGGATTATAGTGAATGCAGGGTCCAGGGAGAGTGGATATAGTGAATGTAGGATCCGGGGAGACCAGATATAGTGAATGCAGGGTCCTGGGAGACTGGATACAGTGAATGCAGGGTCTGAGGTTTAGTAAGACTTTAAGGAGGGAGGGGGCGAACCACGCTCTGTGTGGCTTATGGCTCAGGAGTGCGCATGCATAAGTGCCCTCAGAGCAAGCAGTTTGAGGATGAAAGGGGTCAGGAGCACCAACAGGGGATGTGAGAAGAGGAGGATAGGGGGTTGCTTTGTGCAAAACCATTGCGCAGAGCAGGTAAGTATGACACGTATGATGATTACAAAAACTTTCAGCAAACTGTCCTTTTGAGATCAGTGAATAATAGAAATTCATTCCACCTGCAATTAGCTCACTTAGCTTCTACCAGACCTGTGCTTTAGGCATATGCTACACCCTACTAAGTAATAGGAACTTCTAAGCTCTTCTGTGCTGGACGGGTGCAACAAAAGGCAACTGAGCCACAAAAAAGAAAATAGGATATGAGAAATAGAAAAGGGGAAAAATAAAGACTTCTTGAAAGTAAAGGGAATCCTTAGATGTCTTACCTGTTCATCAGAGCACAAGTAAAAAGCAAAACTTAATTGAGTTGAATTCTGGGAGATGCTCCGATTCTTATCGTGTAATTGGTTAACTTTTTAATTCTTCAAAAGTAATTAGGAACAGGGAGAACTGACCTGCATGCTTATCAAGGCATAGTTCATAAAGAACAATTTAAATGTACAACATACAGTAACTTTTGAAAAATGTCCACTATAAGTCTAATTCATAAAAATGTGCCAGATGACAAGTAGAAATCAATGGTGGCGATCCGTGAAGAAAAGCAGAAATGCGCACTCACCAGAAGACAGATATAAGTAAGCAATATGCATCAAAGCTCATGGATCCTCAATCAAGGAGAAAACTGGTCTGGTCAAAATGGGTTGATCCTCCCTTAAAGATGCAGAGCTTATCCAAAAAAGATCCAGGTAGCCAGAGGTCTCCTAAAGCTGGATGGACGGAAGGGGTCACCTGCTTACATGGGGTCCTCCTCCTCTTGGTAAAAGCCTGAATTCTCAGTAAAGGAGGCCTGAGTCCATTTGAAGGAATGCTGAGGTAGCCAGGCAAATGCAGTCCTCAGGGAGTAGGGTTGTGTTAAAGTTCCATTCCCATCAAGAACACTATAATTGATCTTATAATTCAGTTACCCACCATAGAAGAATATCGCAAAGAAATTAGGCCCTGGTTTGCTGGACAAGAACTACATTTGGACTTAAATGGTGTCATGGTTGTGGTCCAGTTGTGATTTTTCTATAAATACTACATTATGGGCTTCCTTCCTGACTCCCTGAGAAGAGTACCTTTTTGCAGAGTCCTTTACTGAGAATTCAGGCTTTTACCAGGAGGAGGAAGACCCCCTGTAAGCAGGTGACCCCTTCCATCCATCCAGCTGTAGGAGACCTCTGGCTACCTGGATCTTTTTTGGATAAGCTATGCATCTTTAAGGGAGGATCAACCCATTTTGACCAGACCAGTTTTCTCCTTGATTGAGGATCCATGAGCTTTGATGCATACTGCTTACTTATATCTGTCTTCTGGTGAGTGCGCATTTCTGCTTTTTTCACGGATCACCACCATTGATTTCTACTTGTCATCTGGCACATTTTTATGAATTAGACTTATAGTGGACATTTTTCAGACTTTATTATTTAGCGCTGCACTTTTGTTGTTATTACTTGTTTAAGTATATATTGGTTACTTAGAGTGCTTAGCTGCTTTTTCGGATTAGCGCTCACTCTTTTATTATATACATACAGTAACTTTTGGCAATACGCTCTTACTAGAAAAGAGTAATCCAAAATGGAATTGCGGGGTTACTATTAGTAATTGTTGTGGATTACTCTGCACATTGGTTTTTCCCTTTTCATTGCTTTTTGAATAGGTCAGTGGGAGTGATTGCCCCATCCACTTTGAATGTGTGGTTCGGGGAATTGGGTCTTTTTTTTTTTTTTTCAAACCGCTGATTAAACAAAAAAAAGAAAAAGAAATATTGTATGTGCATGGCCAGCTTGCTCACTCAATGTACTATATCAGGACAAAGGAAACAGGACAGGAATAAAGAAGCCTTCCCCTCTCCTCTTCCCCAGAACATAGATGGAAAGGGTTCTGTAGTCCACAGAAAGTGTTGGAAAATGTAACTGATATCAACTGGCCAACCAACCCGA